AAAGAACCACAGCTGTTTCGGCGTACTTCTGATAATTTTTAAGGACTTGGAAGATTAAAAAAAATATTGATGTGAGGGCATCACACGTGCACACACCATTTCCTTCTATTTTACCACTATTACCCCTTTGAACACGTAAATCTTTTAAATAATATATAAGGATTCAGTCCGTACCGCAAAGAAAACACGGAACTTCACCATTAAAAATACTAAATGGTTAGAACTTCTCAAAGAAGTAATTTATGTTTACACGGAAGTCATATGACACCAATAAATACAAACGCACACTTTCTGATTGTTAAAGCACCTGGTGCATATATTTACCATTTGGCTTCAAATGAGTAATAATTTCCAGAACAGCGATTATACAAAGTATTAACTATGATTAATTAACCACTCTAAACCTGTCAAATTTTATTATACCAAGTCTATTTAACCATTTCCAACGCTTGTAATTCCACTGCAGACAGATAAGTGTATAACACTGCAAAGTATAGTTCACGCGGGTTTGAAAACCCTTACATGAAACGACGAGGCATGTTTGTGATTTCTGACTAAAAAATGCGTTTTTTTCAAACTTAAGAACTGTAGACTTATTAGCGTTTTCATGGAAACGAAAAAGTGTTTCGGTAAAGTTCACCGATAACGCCTTCATGGCAAACAATTAACAGTCTGTAGGTTAGATATCACGATAAAGTGTTGGTAATTTATTTTTGAGAGCAGATTTCACGGGCAGAACAATGTCACTGAACAAGACTGCATTAACAAAGGTCCAAACTCAGGTACGGCACAAATTATTTTGTATTAAACAAAGTCTGAAGGTTTCTGACGGTGGGGCAACGCATTGTGCACATTTATTGTCTCAAACTTAATCTATCGCCTAAGTTGTTGTTGAAAAGCACGACATTTGACGTGTTCGTTCTATTTCCGTCTTCAGGCGACCCGTGGGGCGATAAAATCCTACCATATTAGGCATCCCTTTTTGAAATAATCTCAACTGAAGATGATGGGTAAATTTAATCTCTTACACTGAGAATCTTTAACAGCATTAGGTTGTTCTGTTTGTGAGCCCCGCAAAGAACAGGTAATGGACATCTCAGCCAATGGAAAGAGGAACGCTTTGGCTGGATGCTACGACATGTTCTAGAAAAGCTGCATAACTTGTAATTATTGCTTACTGGCAGATGCCTCTGGGCCACGTCAGCGAAAATATCGTGCTCTATCGCTGTGCACCCCCAAGGTCGTCTGTCTGCTGCGTGCAGTTCTGTTCTGTTCTTGCCTTCAACACGTATTTTTCAGCAATGCACAGAATGTGCGTCGATGCAACCTAGATGTCGCTCGTTTTTCTGATGAAACACTTTCCTAAACCTCAAAATCTTACAGTTGGAATTTGGATACTGACAAACCAGAAATTTAAAATTTCGTTTTGTTTTAATGAGCGATTTGTTCAGTTATGTTCAGGGAATTAAGACAAAAGAGATCTCATATTTCCAGTTGAAAGTTTCTGAAGTTCTTTGCTGGTGCTGTACTTCAGAGTTGTGTTCTAGCGCTGAGAGTGACGAGTAAGCTTTAATTTACAAAAGCAGTACTTAAGAATAAAGAGGATATAGCTTTCAGTTCTTCAGTGACCCAGAATAATAATTGTTTAAATATAATTAGCTCCTAAAAACGTAATGTTGGAATTAAGGTTATAATCAAAGTCTCTCTATCATATTCGTGCATGAATTTACATACATATATACAGTGCATTCCTCAGTTCAAAGTTACCTTCTTATACTAAGATTTGCTTTTGTAGTAATTGTGAGTTATTTTAATGTTTGTTTTAGCTGCCTTCTTTACGTATTTAATCATTAATTGGTACAGAATAGAGTCCTTCATGAGAACCTGATAGTCGCTCAACTGATCAAGAAATTCTCGGCCTTGAATGAAACTATTCATTGCCATAATCACAAGATGCACCCATGTCGTAGATTTACGGCATGTAAAAGGACCTTACGAGCATGATACGAGATGTAATATTTGTGGTTTTCACAGCGGTGAGTATGAAGATTTCTGTCTTCTGGGTTGTTGCTTCGTGTAGTCTGGTCGATGTTTATCAACGTTTCAGAGGTCATACTGCCTCCATCATCAAATACTTTCGCGGGCCGGATTACAAGTGGTCGCGGGCCGCCAGTTGGACGACGCTGAGTTATACAATGCAGAAGTTAAAGAACAACATCTGATCAAGATTTCAGAAATTCTGCAACTTTTGAATACCTGAATGATAACAACGACGATAACATCGGTGAATGTGAAAATATTAAAGATAATATACAAATTTCAACCAAAGAGAATCTAGAATTTTCCAAGAATATCACTGTTTTTACTGCACAAAAACGGTATCCAACATTCTCCTCTCTATGTAGACGAAATCAATAGACATCAACAGTGTGGATTTCGATGTAATGGATCGACTGCTGATGAGATATTTTGCATTCGTAAGACGGCGGGGGAAAATTGTAGCAGAAAGAACATTACATCAGCTATTTACAGACTTCTAGTAAGAACATTTTTCAGTTAGTAACTAATAAATACGACATTCTTATTGAATTCTGTAAACAATGAAACTAGTTGGGCAATTAAAATTCTTTTAAAAGATGCATTTAGTAAAACGCATCTTGCTAAAAATTTGTCTGATGCAGTTCCTATTCATAATGGTCTGAAACAAAGACATGCTTTATCATCAATTATTTTAAACTTTTCTTCAGTATACACCATCCAGAATGCGCAGGAGGACAAAGGAGGCTTGGAATTGAAGGAGAATCGCCAGCTTCTAGTGCATGCTGTTTATGTTAATTTATTGAGGGAACACATAGTTATCATGAAGAAAAACACAGAAGCTCTTTTATATTCTAGTAAGGAAGATGGCAGAGAAAACTAAGAATTGTTGTATTCATGTCACGTCACCAGACAACAGCACAAAATCATTAGGCGTTTATGCAGGTAGCTAATGAATCCTTTGACAATGTGGCAACGTTTAAATAGGCCTATTTGTGAACGACGGTAACAAATAAAATGGTAAAATTTGGGATTTTCACGGCGGCGAGTCCGAAGATGGCTATCTTCTGGGCATTCGTGTCGTGTAGTCTGGTAGACTACACGGCGTTACGACCCAAACTTGTGTTGACGAAGAAGGTAATAGTAAACTAAATTTGTAAAATATATTCTACAAGGATTAGATTCTCTCATGTCCCTGTCTGCTATCTAAATTCGTAAAGATTAATATAACTGGGATACTGGGAACGACCCGTTCTTCAAGTTCCTGAGCACTGCAGGTCCACAACTTTCGTTGGCTTTGATCTATAGACATTCGGTAGGACTCCTTGGACGAGGGATCGGCCCGTCGCAAGGCCTCTACCTGTACACAGGACAGCACAACACAGACATCCAAGGCTTGAGTGGGATTCGAACCCACGGTCCCAGTGACCAAGCGGCACAAGGCCCACGCGACCACTGTGACCCCAAAGATTAATTTAAACGTTACTATAATCGTAAGTGATACTTTCTTCGTGGTCCCTCACGTAAAGGAATTATCACATGAACTACCCTTTTGATTATTCACGTTTCTTACATTGCATTTGTTTACATTCGCTTTATACTTATTCCGAACGAAGCTTACTTCATCCGGTGGGCGGCGTCACATAAGGGGAAATGGAAGAAGAGGAGAGGATGCTGGTAGTTTATTTCCGTTTTGTGCGTAATGTATCAAAACAATTTTATGGACTCTATTTATGTTACGATATCAGACAACCAAACTACCATTCTCCAATGTCTGTAAGTTCGTCTTTATGGTGTTGTTCTGCTTTGGTAGATGCACCAACGAAGAGGCAGAAATGACCAGTTGAATGCACCATCAAACTATAAAAATTACCTTTCAGGTATCTTACAATTCGCCTTCAATTCTTAATAAGCAAACTTTACCATCGTTTCAGAGGTCCTTGGTGCTGCCATCATCAGGTCGATTACAAAAGAAATTTGAAACATTGGTAAATGTCTACCAGACAACACGGTGCTACAATTGAGAAAAAAGCCATCATCCGTGATGTAACTTCCTTAGCAAATAAGGAAGACTTTCAAATCAGAACGTTTAATGTTACGTATCTCCGGAGTTTCCCTATCTAATCCTAGAAACAAATAAATTCCCTACCACTGATAAAACGTACAAGTTTTGGTCTTCATTTAGATTATGAGACAAAGCACGACCATAAACGAGAGACTAATATTTAACATGAAATTGAACCGTACGTCTACATTCCAAAATCTCTTCGATTTTCATGGGCCTACATTATGGTTCCTGTATTAATTTATTGCTGACACAAATTTACGAATATAAACATAATCACACTAAACAAATATAATAAAACACATACACTGAACTTCATTCAATCAATAATATTTCCACTTATATATTTCGTTAATATTTACGATGTAAGAAGTTAAAACAAATTAAATAAATACTGGCTGTTAGGGCCACTGTTTGATACGCGTGCAGCCATAAGTGGACTCCTCATTAAGCCTACATCTTCATGGCATGGTGCTTAATTAAGCTACAGATTTAATGAGGTTCATATTTTGTGCCATGAGTCTAGGCTATAGGATTTTCATAGCTTAATAATTACCAGCATACATGTTTAGGCCTAGTTTCTGTGTTTAGTTCTTACGCTACTCACAGACTGTAATAACCACAGAAATTAAATCGAATTTAGGCTTACGTCAACTGAAAAAGCTGAATGTAACAATATTCATTAGTTGTCTATTAAACATATTTTAATTTGTAAAGGAACAAGATTATTTATAGTATTTATAGGCCAACTGAATGTACCATATGTGACAAACAACTAGAGCGAGATTTGTCTGCAGTGGGCCACACTGCTGGAGGTGTAAGGACTGTTACATTCCGTTGAATATACACTACTTCAATGAACATAGTATCATATATCAATTGCTATTTGCAGTCTTACCTTGCTATCCAGATCTTCACGTCGGCAAGACACATCACCACTAACTACAACAGTCACGTACAAAAACATGATTCTTGTTCTAGTACCGATTTGAAAATAACAGAGCCATGCTGCTGCACCGTATTGGAAATAAACAACAAAACAATTGACAGTTGTAAAGCGTCCAGACACCCCCCTCCGCTCGATTTAATTCATACTGACAACCACATAACCACATCATGATGTAAAGATCACCTTTATTTTTACAATAACGGTAACGTACGATCAAAGAATTTAGTCTTTAAACATTCTTATTCAAGAGAAACGTTTCTGGGCTCCTTGGAATTAACGTTCCAATGCTACACACACAAACAATAACGTCAGTAAATTGAGCACTGCTGGTTGCGTCACAGCAGTTCACAGGCTGAGCTACAAGAGCGCCTCACAGCGGGTAAAACGCGCAGGAAGCAAAATTAACATTTTTGTTTTCGATCTCACTGCGGCAGGGAAGGAAGTTACAAGGAGCCTACCGCATAAAACCGATGTTTCTTAACCGAATAGAGGCTGTGTGTCCACGCTGCTTTCCACATTTCACTCAGAACAGCTCACGGTATTTTAAAAATTACGCGTACAAGATATAACGATTCGCAACTCGAGGTGTAACGAACTCTTCCGAACATTTCCGAAGTCTCTCTATTGATCTATCCGCCCAAAACATTGGATGTAGGTGTTGTAGGGGACGGGGTCGCGAATTTTGGGGTTGGGAAGTTGAGGGAGAGACAACATTTGCCTCCCGTGTCCTAAATACTTCTTGCGTACAGTCTCAGACATTACGAGGTCACTAAGTGACTCACTGACCGAGCAACCAACCGACCTTCCCACGACGGGATATTTTCTCGGTTGTCGGTACATTCTAGACTATTCGAAAGTTCGTCTGTACTTCTAGGTCGTTCATAACCGTCGTCACACAAGGCCGTTAATAAGCTTTATCCTGGACTAGTTCCGAGCAGCTCCCAGTTTAACAACCCACTTCTACGAATTTATCTAAGTTTTGTTTCAATACTGTCCTCTCAGATTCTACACATTTTCCCAAATTCTCTCTCTCCATGAGGTTCCACAACCATAATTCTGAAATAGTGTCTTTCTATAATGCATGCTGCATGTCCTATCCATCCACCTCTTGGCTTAATAGATTGTAAAATATTACTAAGTAGGATTTGAGGTTTTCACAGCGGTGAGTCTGAAGTTGGCTGTCTTCTGGGTTGTAGCGCCGTGTAGTCTGGTAGAAGTTTACCAATGTTTCAGAGGCTCTTGCTGCCTCCATCATCAGGGCGTCATCGTATGGTGCTACAACCCAGAATATAGCCATCTTCCAGATTCTTACTGTTCAGAAACCAAAAAGCATAAGTAACAAAAGTTATTATAGACAAAAAATAGTTTTATTTAGCCTTACGAAATTACCATGGAAAGCAAGTTAAGTAGAAAATGTGTTTTACGAAAAAGTTTATTTTTATTTGTACAATAAAACAGTTTCAGCAATATTAAAAATGTACGCCCTAGAAAACGAAAACATCAATGCTACTGACTTACACTCTCTGGTATGTAATTTTATTTGTTTCCCTATTATTTAGTCACTGGCTGAAGCAAATAATCGATTTGGAACATGCAAATACTAAGATGAAGTTCAGTTATCACGCATTGCTGGAGATTTTAAAATTATTTTGGCGTGAGAGTTTTGACAAACTAAACATTTCTTACGGACGTGGAAAACAAGGCTTGATGTCAGCTAACGAGCTCTGCCCTAGTCAGCGTATAATTCACATCTTAGCGAACACGTGCGTCTCATTCTGCTCGTTCCCTTGACTTTTCAACTAAGGCTTTCCCCCATTTATACATGTCTTACACAATTCATCTTTCGCGATCTAATCACACTAGGTGAAGATGCCATGGTAATAGCACGACATTAACCTGTAACTTCACTCGGGATAATTCTGTTGTCGTTAGGGGCAGTTTTCCAAGCTTCTCATTATTTACCGTTTGGTTTTTAGACGACGTGGATTACCTCACAATCGCAAAATCCACTGTCAATTTAAATCAACGCTACAACTTTTCTCTGCAATGCACGAAACCAAATAATGACAGAGGGGAATTCCAGGCAGGAATTTTATAATTTACAGTTAGTCCCAAGTATTCAAGTTCCCACATGTTAATAATTTACATTATCCAATCCGTATGTAGGTATGTACGGATTAGATACAACCCCGGATATATATAAAACACTAGATAATAAGTGCCTAAAAAAATATTTTGAAGTACTGAGCCTGTCTCTCTCCCCCCCCCCCCCAAAAGTATCACCTCATTCCACAGGATAAAGACGCTTGCTGTTTCACGCAAAGTAGGCCTGATGTTGTCATAGGCAATGAAGATAATGATTTTATCACTTAATTTACAAGAAGAAAGTAGCACATTTACAGACAAATAAATACTGCGTAATTTAAAAAAAATTATAACACAGTTTGATTTATTCACTTACGAATACGTTATATCATATTCACTGTCTTGAAAGGACGAGTTGTGTTCGAGATATGGCTCAGACGATCTTGATCGGTTTAAAGTTGTGACACATAGCCCCGTGTTGCCCGCAGGGCATGGTGGCCGTTATGAGGAGGGCCTCGCCTCTTTGTGAGGATGATATAGCTACATCATTTGTGTCATTGTGCAGAACTGTCATCTAAAACAGGGTGTGGTCGAATCAGGTTCCCTGTTCAGTGTTATTTATCACACTTCCACGCTGTCACGTGATGCCTCAAGTGTGAGGGGGCCCAGGTCTTTTCAAAAATTTTGAATCTTGTTGCAGCAGCAGGACATGGGGGGACTGCTCTATTACGTTTCATAATTTGACAAAAGAATTCAGGCCTTTAAGTACATTCCTCTACACGCCTACCGTCAAAATGACGAAGCTAATCCTCTATGGATTCGGAATAAATTAGTTATAAAAATTCATAAGCAGAATTTAATTTTTGCCAGAACTGAAGAACACTTACTAGCACTTTACATGTCGACAAGAAGAGTAGGCTATTATGATAGCCTATTGCTAGGTCTGTATTTACCAAATCTAGAAATATTTCTGATAAGAACATATAATTTTATGTACAGTTCTTCACAACCTATACTGTATATTCCTGTTAATAATTATAATAGAATAACGAGTGTTGTTTTCTTCAATTCAATTCATTTATTTAAGTGCTTGACAACAGCCAAAAAGGCCAATAACAGCCAAGTACTAAACCAAAGTACAGGATAAAATATAATAAGTAATTAATTTATTTCAATAAGAATAAAAGTAAAACAAACAAATGAAATTAAATATATAAATGTACATTATTAATAATAATAATACTTAGATTCATTCACAAATAAATGGGCTAATACGATACCTAAGTAATATAATTCAATTTAATAATTCTAAATAAAATAAATAATACTACATAATAATAATAGTTAAATTTGGGTAACCATTTGGGTAACCATGAAGATGGACAGACAGACACTACGCTTACTTTATGCAGACTGCGAAGACGCAAAACTAAGGATTTAAAAAAAATACGTATGTATTTTTGTATACGTATAGAAGAAACATTTTAGAACAGAGATAAAAAATACGAAACAACAATTGCAAGGAGAGTCAAGCAGTGAGAAACATCAACGTTTGTACATCACACTGAGCTATTAATTCGATTAAGACGTTTTGGACAGTAGCAGTTAAACCGACTGCTTTCAAGTTCGATGGTATATTTTGGAACATCTTTATGATCCTAAGGGAATTTCTTACCTGTTGTCTATTTAAGTAAATACTGAGCACAATGGAGTTATTCAGTCAGGAAATTAATCATCTGTATGAACTAGGCAGTTGCTTTATTTCTAGCCACCCGACGCGTGCGTCTGTCGTCTTCGTCCTACTTCACAAGGACCTCGGCGCTCAAAGGCACAAACATACCAAACAAGTCGATATGGAAGTCGCGTTGCTAGGGAGACGATTCTTAGACAGCGCCTGCCAGATCAATGGAGTGGCAGAACAAAACCCTCGCGACGAATCATCCAGGTGGCACAGATTTTGGGATTTGTCATCATTAACAACACCTATCTCTGCTGTAATAATGCCAGTTATCGAACACCCGAGACATAATTAAATTTAACAAGGTAAAATATCCTTGTTACCAATTCAGCTTCTCGCAGAGGTCTACTGAAGAGCCTTTATCATCGTATTACGATGGTTATTGGTAATTGTGCATGTCTCGAATAAACGTTTGATAATTTTATGCAGGAAGCAATGTATGGCTGCCCAGTAATCAAACGGAAATCATAAAACTGACGCAAAGAAGTTAGGGTATGTCCATCCAACGTTCTGTTCATATGCTTTATCTGCGAAACTATTTGACCAATTTTTATAAAATTTGGCGCTTTTGATCTACACTTAAAATTTTAGAGCTTATTTAATTTTGGTCCTTATCGATCTAACACAACCTCTACCTCTAGCAGAAATCAATTTTGGCCAAAAGTTGTTCATTGTGCAAAACCTTTTGTGAACAGGACATAAAATCAAGATCCAGAACTTTTACACCGAGCATTTTTCGATTCGATAAATATCGAAATACAAAGGAAGACAATGAAGAAATTATGAAATATGAATAGCTCCAGGAATGCATTTATATACTCTGTAGACTATAACGGCATAAAATATGGTTCATTTCTTTACGTACGCGTACGGTGGATAAAATACTAGTTACGATAAGTGGCAAAAAAGTTAATAACGATAACCTGTTAATTTGTTTAATGTACAAATCAATATTATTGAATGAATATATATTCTTTCAATAAAATTATTAAGTCGCGTGAACAGCTAGGCTATAGAACTGGTGATTAGCAAGAAATAGATAAATACGTTTGTTAAGGTGAAGGAGTAGACATATTTTACGTATACAGGATTAAGTTAGCGAGATTACATATTTGATGATATAAAGAATAAATTGATGTTAGTTATCAAGCTATAGAAATCTATAGCCTATCTGCTCTAAACAGTGTCCAATGACGTACGCAGTCTGAGACATAGCATACTCTTGTCTGTATTTATACATTCAACTAAGTTCAGTAAAGATTGTAAAGTTGTATTACAATTTGTTTTATTGTTTCTTCTTATTTGTTTGCCTGGTTGGCTTTGAAGTTCCTTCAGTGCTTCAAATCTGGCCTATGGATTTATTAATGAAGAACTAATGGGCTCTGCGTTCCAAAGTAGTTTTGATAAAACTCATAGATATTACACAGTGACGTATTATTTCTCTTCACACTTCGTTAAATTTATCTTAGGTTTAAAGACATTTCTAATATACGCTGAAGATCCTAATTCTACCTACAGCCTATCTTATATTCACATTTTTATATTCATAGACGATATAATTGGACATCAATTTAAACTTCGTTTATCTAAAGCAGAACTTATAACGAATTCTTCTCGGGCTGACAACCGTGTAAGGTGGTTTAATGGAGAAAAAAACCAACGTTTCTAGAAACATCTTTGTCCTCGTCGTGAGGACGAGGACAAAGATGGTTCTTAAAAAGTTGGCATTTTCTTCATTAAACATCTACCAGACTACACGGCGCAACAACCCAGAAGACAGAAATCTCCATTTTACACGGCTGGTAGCCCGAGAAGAATTAATTACACTTAGTACCGTAAAAACTTCCGGTCATGCAAAATGCCTAACCTTTAAGATACGGGCTACCTAAATTGTCTAATGATGCCGATATTGAGAGAATTACAGAGATTATAACAATGTATTATACTCAGACACCGCGAAAGCTTCAGAAAATACGTACGTTTCATACAAACGATTTAGAATCTTACAGCTTCACAATAAATGTATGGTGCTATGATTTAAGATTATGAACCTCAAGTTCCCTATGATATTTGGGCCTACGTCTGACAGGGTTTTTTGGTACTTATTACGAACAAAATTTGGAGGAGTGCTTATAATATGTATCAAATTGCATATAAGCCTGAAAACGTACAACAGATAATTATTCAAGTCGCCTATAAGGAAGAAATTTTGCAATCCCAAATGACAAAGCAAAACCTTTTGTGTGACAGTTTCCAGAAGTACATATTTCACATTTACATTTCTGCCACTTCAGGAATAAATATTGGAAGATTAAAAATAATAAAACTTAACATTGACAAATCTATAATTGCATCTTTCAGACGTCGGTAGGCTGTTCATTTAATTATTCTATCAATCGCGTGTTAATTTTTCATACTGGCTGTATAAAACATTTTGGTGTTATGTTAGATAATAAATTGCATTTTCCTTGTGTTAATTTTGTATATTATTAGACACTAAGGACATTGGGGTTTGCTCGTTACATTACATAATACACATTATCTTTATATAGGCCAGAAGGTCTGTATATCGTTTTAATTAGGTAAACACTAGAGTATGTCTCTGCTCTATGGAACAAGCTTACATTGACTGACTCCAACGGAACAGAACATATGCAAATGCAATTAGACAATTCCTATTATTAAATTTTTCAATTTTATATTTTACGTAATTTAAATTTAATTTTAAATCTTTTAAATTTTAGATAATTTTATTCTAGACAACATATCGATTCCTTATTTCTTATTAATGTTTTCAAGGGCACAATAAATTGCCGTGCTTTAATGGACACTGTATTAATGAATTATTTATTTTCAGTGTGAGCAGTTCAATAAAACATATTCCTTTATCTAGCTGTGCCATCGCTGCAAAGTCCATATCTCCATTCTGGTCAGTTCTCTAAAGTGTGCTTTATGTATGTTGTTTATTACACCTGCAGTATTCATTCTTCGGTTTATTTAATTAAACTTTGTGACCTACGTAATCTAATACGTTGACATCGTTTGCGTTAGAACTGTCTTCTCATGCCTCTATCGTTTAAACCTTAGACATTATTATTCAAATAACTTAAAGAAAAACTTTCCGCCGTTAAAACCTCAAATCCTACAAAGAAAATATGTTCATTAATCAAACTACTTGGGGAGCTTCAGGCATCCCACGTAATGTTATTAACGGAATCACAACATTTTCATAATGGACATGATGCACTCGAGAACTGAATACGTGGACCACCAGGAGAACCACCTTCATTCCCAGTGGCATTACACGGAAGTTTAGTAATATTACTTTAGAATTTTGAAAAATAATAAATGGTTAGAAATAATCAAAGGTCTTTCATGTGATCATAAACGAAATGCACATCTTAATGCAAGACGCAGTCAATCAACGTTTATCATTGCATCATCGTAGATAAGTGTAAAAACTTACGTTTCATAATAAACATCATACTTGGTAATCATCTTTACGTTCATGAACACACCTGTGCGCTACAAAACCTCCCGATGAATGAATAATATATTCAGATTCATTTTTAAACGTATTATGCCATTATAAATAGCCCATTTCTTCTTTACATCACAGCATAACATATACATACAAATTTATATAAACGCCTGATAACTTTAGTTATTTAGGATTAACAAGAAAATGAATAAAATTTATGAGGAGGACATCTTAATTTGTACGCTATCATAAAATATAATTAAAGTGATCACGTAAAAGAAGATGTAATAGGCGGTTCATATAGCACGCAAACGGAGATGAGAAATTAATACGAAACTCGAATCAGTTGTTAAAATGAGGCCACTTGGGAGACATACGTGCTGACAGGAGGATAACATTAAAATGGATGTTAAAAATAGGGTGGGAGGGTACTGTCGTGGTTCAGGGTCCAGTGGCGGACTCTTGCAAACACGGCAATAAATACTCGGCTTCCTGAGCGACTATCATGTTACCAAAAAGGAGCCTTCTGCATCAAGGTGTCCAATTTAAAATTATTCTTAAGATGACAAAATTCCTTGTTGCTTTGGACCGCAAGCTTTACCGCCAAATTATGTCCATTGTATTAGTCCACTACCAAGTCTCTGAAGGGGAATGTTGTCGCGGTGTTCCTTAACCAAAAGTTAGTATCATTTCTTGTTTCATCCAACCCCAAAAATACAGTTTCTGTAGATAAAAACCCAATTGAGATAATTAAGTCCCTGGGAACTGACTTGATGGAGAAAAACCCTTATTGAGAAACTGATAGTTGGTCATCTAGTCAAACTCGTGGGTTTTTTTGCGATGTTTTCAAACATCATACAAACAAGTCTTGTCATTATTAAATGGTGTTCACAAAAACGTTAAGCAAAGAACAAACTCATACATTGCATTAAAATATTATTTTTTAACTACTTAATAATCTTTTATTGAGAAACATTCTCAAAAAAAAAAGAATTAAATCTAAAAATAAGTTAATTGCTGCTTTGTTAATATTACATCAGCCTGACGTCTGTTAACAGTGACAAGGAAACATCACGAGAGGTTAACTTCGTGAAAGAATGAGGCAAGTTCTAATTAGCAATGAAACACGATTATATAGTTGCTAGCTAAACGATGAAGGTTTTAGAATGACGCGGTGTGAATTAGGGGTTCAGACATCCCTCGCCAGGAAATGTTTACGTTGATATTAAAAATATTTATTTTGGCGCCACAGCCTCTAGTTAGACATAAGTGTGACTATAAAAGGATCTAACATTTATGATAGCAACAACTGATTTTCTAATCGATACAAAATTCTCCCTTAAAAAAGTCCCGAGGGATGTTGATTTCTGGACATGCGGAAGACCAAGACGAAGATGAAAGAATGATATAAAAATGATTTTTTTTAAAACCGATTTTGATAATGTGGAACAGAATCTGGTCTTATAGGCGCTGGAAAGAGAGTTTTGCAAAGCTGTGCAACTGGTACGTCACTTGTTACAGGCCTTTCAAGTCCACGTGGACGAACCTGACGAGGGTCTACGAACTCTACGGATGCATTCCACAATGAAAACTGGGAACAAAATTTCGCAACCGGTAGATGTGGGTCCTTGTTGCATACAGAGCGCGCCGGACCGTTAGGGATGCTGATGCTGAAAAGAGTGGGCGCGGGGGATTGTGGGTAGGGTGGAGGAGCTGTGAGCGAGCGAGTAGCATCGGCCGGTCTCCACGTGCACTGCTCAGTGCACTGGCTACACAGCCATCGGCTGTTTGTTTCTCTTCGAAAACCCAACATTTACCCCTCACTGGGCGCATCCCTTTGTCCCTTACACGTTTGCTGCTAGTCTTTATAGTGTGAATTAATAGACAACTACGTAATTAAGTACGTATCTGCCTGCTAACTGCTTAAACAACACCCAACAAACTTTGCTCCCTGCCTAATAAGCAAAGTATGGATTACAGACAGTGGAAAATGGAATCTAGCATATCAACATCCTAACTATATAATTACATGACATAATTCAATTGAAAAACAAATATAGTGCAGTGTGTCATGGCAAACGCACATACATACGTACGTGTGTGCGTATGTGTATGCATGTATGAGTGCGTGCGTGCGTGCGTGTATGTACGTATGCTGAGGAAACAGGACCTAGAAAGACATATTTCCTGATGCTGGAATCTACTATGACTGAAAGGTGATTAACATGACACACTGTTATTGTGCCTGCAACAAGCGATACAAAGTTTTTCAGTGTTTCAGGGAGAAATTGTAGAAAATAGAATTCAGGCCTGCGTAATCCACTCGCGTTTCAACTTAACTCTTAGCCGTAAAGCTCTAAAAAAAGAAAATCAGTGACCGGATGTGAGACACGAACGTATCGTGGCAGTTTAATGTTTCCAACTCAAAATAAAATCTGCAGAGCAAAAAAATAAAAAGAAGATCCACCTACTACACGACTTCATGGCAGACAGGTTTTGATTATACTCCAAGACACGGCGATGGACGTGGGATGGGGGCCAGGGTGGAGAAGGGGCAGCTTAATGCAACTGGTCAGCAGCTTGCTTGGCCTACCCACCCCCTACCCAGCCTCCGTTATTTTTTTTTAATTCTAGTTCCGGTGCATGTGTACACTTGTACAGTCACGTGTAGAAGTAATTACACCTCAGCAGCAATAAGCCAATGTCTCGCGTCCGGCACTTTATCAACATGTCTGTTGGCGGGCTTTTGTGACGACGTGACGAAACCCATGTGTTCTATTTACCACAGTGTTAATTCAGTTCTTGCCTATGATTAATACGTTTTTTTGTCGACTTTATTTTCACCAACTTCTTTGTATTCATCCTTTCTCATCCTTCCCCTCGTCTCTCATTTTATCCTCCTGTTCTCATCTGGTGGAAGCCGCGCCCAGAGCCACTGCATCCACAGCAAAGAAGTACCGTCCTGGAACTGAACACGAGCGTTCGCAGAAAGAAGCCTTCGCGTATTTTAGATACTGACTGACATTCAGTTGCGTTAGGGTTTGCAAAGTTCCATCATTGCGATAGCAAAAGCCAGCCACTGGATTTTATCCTGTACATGTGTTCATATATAATTTCTTCTCACACATTGGCCTTTCAAGGTGAATACTTTTCGGAATATTTTACACCTATTTCTTGTTTTTATGTGTGTCAGGAGAGCTAAATTCCCGGATCTTGTTTCATGTCACAATCTTTTTGCGCAGATCCAGTGTATGCCATATGGAACAGAGTGGTGGTACGTGCAGAGAGCCTTATTACCGAAGGTGGATTGTAAAGCTTCCCCCCAACCGCTGCTGCAGTGACTTGCAGAAATCCTGTTCTGCAAACATCGCAAATTTCGGTTGCTGCAGAACCTCTTTATACACGAATCCGCTTTGCACTGTAAGTACACACACGTCATGTCATTTCACGACTCTGTGTCAACTGGTACATCCTAGGGTCAATTGCAGATGCTAAATAACTCCAAACTGCAAATGGGAGAATTTGTTGTCAGGAAAAGACCATTCATTAATTTATTCACGTAATTTAATGACACTGTTACAACTGCAGAGATCATTTAGTTGTCAAACAAGATAGAGATATGATCATGGAACGGCTTTAAAAATAAAGCGACAGGGCCTGTTTGACGGATAACACTGGTACATTCGTCTAGCAAAACTGAGGAAAACCATTCAGTTGGTATAACTGCCAGGATTCGAACCACGTACCTGCCGAATTCATGCTGCAGCTGTAGTAAAGGTAGTGGTATTTTCATGGTACACCGAGTAAAACCACGATACACTTGTTTTGATACTACGACTTTCTGGTCGGTTTCACTGCTCAGGTGATTATGAACTGTTATAATTCCTTCTGTTGAAGTTTGGGTTGTAATCGGAGAGATATCACTTGTAGAATTGTCACGAAGACCGAATAGCTGCAGCATTCAGAGTGAGAAGGGATGGGCGATTAATTAGTACCCAGAAGGCTGAAGGGACTTGCTAGGCTGGATGCGAAGCGCTAATTACTTTCACCAAACCCTTGCGTTATTTCGACTTGAGAGAAAAGGCCAGAAACATTTAGCACGTCGCGTTACCATGGGAACGGACACGTGCATATATCGGATAACTCATCAATCCGCTTCGTTTCTTTCTTAAACCAGTACGCCAAAACAGCCCGTTAATAATGGCGGAAGGATCTAAGAGAGTAAACACACATAATCATAAATTCTATCCCACAGCGGCCAAAATCCATTAACAGCTTATCATGGCAATAGTTGTATATAATAACTGGTCAGGATTTGAGGTTTTCATGGCTGTGAGCACAAAAATGTAGCCGTTCTGTGGGTTGTAGTGCCGTGTAGTCTAGTAGATGTTTACTGACGTTTCAGGGCCCTGATGATGGAGGCAGCAAGCACCTCTGAACCGTCAGTAAACTCCTACCAGACTACACGGTGCTATAACCCAGAAAACAGCTCCATCTTAGTTATATAAACACACACAAAATAAATATTATCCAATTAGACCCAAAATACCTTAAGAGGTGATGATCACCTAACAACCATTCTCCCCAAAACGTTGCTTATTATATAGATAAACTATTTGTTCTCTGTGTGTTCTTTTTAAGTTTTAATGTGGGATTTATGCTACCCACTAACGTACAGTTGGAAAAACTGAGATGCGAAATATTTTTTTAATTAGATCTATGAATGTGCTCTTGGTGTTTAATTTTCTCCACTCGAAACAAAATATTTACTATCTCATAGTATGTACCGTGAGTGTTCATCACAGCTGCAACAGAAGCTCACATCCGATTAGAATATATTTATGAATTAATAATCACGATAGTCATATTTTTACCTGCGTCTTGTTTTAGAAACTCCGTATAGTCTACACATCAGCACTAGTTCGAGGAAGGTCGTGGAGATCCCGAGATAAAATCTCGGCTCGGATACGGGATATCATTACTGATATTTTCCGTCTTTTTCCTCAGTATCTCAATTCAAATGCCGGGATGGTGTATTAAATAGGTCACGACAGCTTCTCTTTCACATTCTTCCAAATTCATTATTCGGCGCTAAATAGTCTGTGCTACTAAAAGGGTCAAGACGTGTGTTCAGGTCACCTCTGGAAACAAATCTTCGTTTTTTATATCATGTGGGGGGAGGTGAACGGCAGAGAAATTCTAGATGCAGCAGAGAAGAAACAGCTTCCAACATTTTTACTTACAAGGATTTAAAGTCTGGCTATTCAGCCTAAGAATAGTCATGTACTCTATGGCCTCTTTCCATTAAAAATTTCCAACCGAAGCGCATAACTTTCTAGTTTTTACTATACGTGCTACGAGAACAGTCCATCATTAAGTTTAAAATGACGCGAAGTGATTATTCGCGATTGTTAACACACCAAGCTGGTCAGAGGAAAATTAAGTGACCTACATTTTGAAAAACGTATTCTCTCTTCACCAGATAAAACCTTCGCCTTCACAGAACACGCGCTTCCCACGTGAATAGTATATCTGCACAGAGTATGAGAGACATACTACACTTTACGTCCCAGCCAACGAAGATCTGGTAATTTAATCATTTTTAAATGTTGGGTACAGGGAATAAAATTAAGCTTTTCTACGTACAATTTTCTATGCTCTGTTAATTCTCTCTATTCACTCCTAGACGCGTAGGTTTGTTATACCCTCAGGGAAAACTCTGATAGTAGCTTACAAGCTTAAACGCGTATGTTAACCAGGAAATGAATTAGTGAATAATCGTTCGAGTAACGAGCTTTATCGAACACCGTTGAAACGTAACTTAATTAGAAACGGTTTCTTTTTCTTCGTCTAGTACTAGACTTAATTACGATTAATTCGATTTAACTGCTGAGAGAACGCGAGGTATCTTTTTATCTGATCTTAAAATAAATCGAGCGCTTCTAAGCGAGTTATATCGTGCTTAACATGGAAGAGGTTAATATTAAGCTGGGTAAATAGATCGATATTATTTTGAATTTGAATGTAGTCTACAGCCCACGATTGATGGTAACTGTTTAAGAGTAATGGAACAGGATTCGTAGTTAATTTTTGAACCTATATAGTGTGTCCCAAAAATATGAATGCACAGATTCAATTAATGAAATAAAGATATTTTAATTACCTAAACATTACATATGTCAGCACTAACACTTAGGGAATTACCTAATCTAGTGTTCAAAATGACTACCATCAGCTTCTTGGCACAGTTGACAGCGGTGAGCAACTGACTTACAAGCGGACACCGTATTACAATGCGTGTACATGTTTTTTGGGACACCTGTATTTTATTCGTCAGAGTAACAGCTATCAAATTTCCGGTAAATTTCCAGACAGCTTGTGAGCAGGATGCATTTGGCTACTAACGACTTTCAAGCTGCCAAATGCTCTCTTGGTTTTATAATTAACGTATTATAATGAATGAGTTTTAACACGAGTTTACGGCCTACAAATTTTAACGTACATTAGCAGAAGGGGTACTGCCATATTTCAAAATCACAATTAAACAAATCTCCCAAGTGTCTAAGATCAATTATATTCTATTTCAGTGGTATCTTAGGCTGTGATTCACAAAAGCCTTGAAAATACAGTGGAACCTCGATATACCACGCCTCGTTACACCGCGGCTGTGAACATGTTCCCCAATACGATTACATATGTTTTATATATTTCACATATCGCCTGCTGAGAACAATAGCGACGTAACTCAGAAATAACCGATTGTCGGGAAGGTTTAGCTCCATCTCTTCGTGCATGAGAGGCGTAAGACAGTGTGCGGCCGACCTTGATGGCGTTAGGATTGGAGAGTTCACGTCAATAGTGACGGATGTTGATTTACGTCAGTAATGCACCAAGTGTGAAAATTGTTTGTTAAAACACTAAAGACCTATTTTCGACTTACGTCAGTAATGCGTCATTTTCTAGATTACTTTAACGTGTTTACTGTTGACTTACGTCACTATTCATTCTTATCAGTTGTTTTACCTGCGTTTTATTGTGAGCAGTGCCGAAAATTACTACAAGAGGAGAGAAGATCCTTTTATCTATGGGAATAACGTAAGTAAATCTTGATAGATTTTGTTTTGAAAGTTTTTTTATATATTTTGCTATGATTAAAAGCTTACAGTGCAACTGTACCTTAGTAATCTTAAATCGAATTATTTTTGAATAATTAACTGGTTTAAAAAACTAAATAATATGTATTACGTCATTAGTACCCCACAAAATCTTTGAAAGTTATTCATCACGTCATGCATTAGTGACGTAATTAAAATAAAATTCTAAAAAATAAGCCAAGAAGCAGAAAACTTACAAATTACATTAATTCAAAGCATATTGTGAATAAAGTAAAAGGAATTACTGGAATAAGTTGTATGGCGGACGAGGAATGAAAGATCGAAGTTGCGGCAAAAGTTCGAAGGCATTTTTCTCGAAACTGTGATTTATGAGTTACGTCACTATTGGTCTCAGCAGGCGATATAACGTGGGTACTGAAGCTGTCCCCCGAAACCCGCGTTATATTGAGGTTCCACTGTACCTACGCGTAAAATTTCAGGAGATGCACCGGCAAAATGCGTATTGGTCGATTTTCGTTGGATAATATAATTACAATGAAAGAAATTATATGCGTAAAGCCCCATGTCTGTTCCAAAATATCACAGCAAGAAAATTTCACCGAAACGCTAAGAGCAAAGTAGTGTATGAACAAATAATTCCCTGCATTAAACTTGCGATATGGAATATCCCACTCAGCAAAACACAGGGCACATCAAATTGGGATCACTTAACATAATTCCACAAAATGTGGTAGCCTAACAACAGCGAGACATTTTAATGCCCTGAAAATGGTTGTCTTCTGGATTGTGGCACCGTGTAGTCTGGTAGAAGTTTACCGACGTTTCAGAGGTCCTTGCTGCCTCCTTCATCAGGGAGATTCGGTTCAAGAGTTAATTTCAGTTATCAGCTCAGTCCGCCATAAGAGGAAAACTAAATTTCCCACGATTCATCTTCCGTTCAAGAGTTAATTTCTTTAAACTTTTAACATTAGCTTAAATCTATCAGGAATCCGAGTATAGGAGCTTACAAACTACAGCTTTCGTTAAATAAGATCTGTTATATAATTGTGAATAGGGAGGTATTTGAATTAATGTGGATTTAAGAATTTGAAAGGAGGCAGTTATAATCTATTTTGAGCAATATTCTGGCATTCGCCTAAAGATAATGAACAAGCACAGAAGATACTTTCAGTTATGAAAGCTGGCAAGGCAGCCGAGATTCAAACCAGATACCTCTTAATCAAAAATCCACTACAACCTGCTCGGTATAATAAAAAAAATGTTTAATGAGTAAAGTGGTTGTTGATAACTTTAGTTTTTAAATTT